TGCTCTGCTTCTGGAATCGGATCACCCCTTTCCATGGGGATACCTTCAGGAGGACAAAATCTCCAACCTGAAACTCTAGCTCGGATCGTCGCCTGTCTGCATAACTCTTCTGGCGACTCTGGTCCGTCAGTAACCTCTGTCTGACCTGCTGAATCTGCTCAGTCGTCTTCAGCACTATCTCAGTGCAACCCATCACTCTCTGCCCTACTTCTCCTCAAAAAATGGGAGTCCGACACCTCCTCCCATATAGAAGCTCAAAGGGGGGCATACCGATGCTGGAATGGTGGTTGTTGTTGTAAGAAAACTCAGCCAAGAGCAAATAAGTGTCCCAACTTCCTCCGATGTCCATCACACATGCTCGCAGCATATCCTCAAGCGTCTGAATCGTCTGCTCGCTCTGCCCGTCTGTCTGCGGATGGTATGCGGTAATGAAATGCAGACGTGTGCCCAACTCCTCATGAAATTTCTTCCAGAACCTGGGAGTAAAATGCACGTCTCGATCCGACACAATCGAGGTTGGCACTCCATGCCGTGCTACCACCTCTCTCACATAAATCTCGGTCAGTCTCTCTACAAAAGAGCTCTCACTAATAGCAAGGAAGTGAGCACTATTCGTCAGCCGGTCCATAATCACCCATATCGCGTCAACCCCACGCATAGTCCTCGGTAACTTGGTGATAAAGTCCATAGAAATCTATTCCCACTTCCACTGGGGAATCTCCAAAGGCTGCAAGGGACCATGTGGACGCTGGTGCTCCGCCTTAACCCGACGACAGGTCACGCACCTCTCTACAACCCATGCCACGTCTCTCTTCATACAAGGCCACCAATAGTCTCTTTTCAGGTCCAAATACATCTTAGTGGCCCCTGGGTGGATCAAAAATCTCGATATATGCGTCTCTCTTCACCTGTATAGGGCACCCAAATCTGCCCATGGAAGGTCATAAGCCCACGAATGTCCATCACAAACTCGGACACCTGCCCAATCACATGCTTTCTCTTGCAGTTTTCCGGCCTCACAACCTCCACCTAAGCCTCTCGGATGGTATCCAAGACTGGAGTCATCACCGTCATCCTCATACACACATCCCGGTTCGAAGCTCCCTCGGCTCCACGACTCAAGGCATCAGCTACCAAATTAGCCTTGCCTGGGTGATATAAGATCTCACAGTCATAGTCTTTCACTACATCCAACCATCTCCTATGTCTCATATTCAGATTGGGCTGATCCATCAGGTACTTCAGGCTCTTATGGTCCGTGTATATGGTACACCAGACACCATAAAGATAGTGACACCAAATCTTGAGGGCGAACACCACCGCCCCTAACTCCAAATCATGGGTGAGATACGTAGTCTCATGAGGCTTCAGCTGCCTCGACGCATATGCTATCACATGACCTCTCTGCATCAACACTGCAACCATCCCCGAAATAGACACATCGCAATAGACCATAAAGTCCTCCACTCCCTCTGGAAGGGCTAACACCGGAGATTCGCACAATCTCTGGCAAAGAGTCTCGAATGATGCCAACTGCTCAGTCCCCCAAACAAAAGTAACGCTCTTTCGGGTCAATCTGGTGAGAGGAACCGCAATCTTGGAGAAATCCTTGATAAATATCCGATAGTAGCCGACCAATCCTAGAAAACTCCTGATCTCGGATGGGGATCTCGGTACCTCCCATCGCATAACTGCCTCAATCTTGGCCGGATCGACCAAGATCCCATTCTGATTAACGAGGTGTCCCAAGAACTGGACCTCTCATAACCAGAAATCACACTTGGAGAATTTGGCATACAACCTCTCTGACCTCAATACCCCAAGAACCTCTCGCAGATGCTCCTTATGCTGCTCTCTGGACCTCGAATATACCAGGATGTTATCGATGAACACGATCATCGACCGGTCCAACATAGGCCTGCACACCCGGTTCATGAGATCCATGAATGTTGCCGGTGCGTTGATGAGCTCGAAAGGCATCACCACAAACTCGTAATGCCCACAACGAGTTCTAAAGGTCGTCTTCTGAATATCCTCCTCGCATACTCTCATCTGGTGATAACCAGATCTCAAATCAATATTGGAAAACCAAGATGCCCCTACAACTGATTGAATAAATCGTCGATCCTCAGAAGTGGATAACGGTTCTTGACCGTCAACTTGTTCAACTCCCGGCAATCAATACACATCCGGTGTGAACCATCCTTTTTCTTGACAAAAAGGATCGGCGCTCCCCACGGTGAGCTACTCGGTCTGATAAAACCCTTCCCCAGCAGCTCATGGAGCTGTGAGGATAACTCCTGCATCTCTGGTGGCGCAAGGCGATAAGGTGCCTTGGCAATTGGTGTCGCGCCCGGAACTAAATCAAGTCGGAACTCCACCTGCCTCTCGGGAGGTACACCCGGCAACTCCTCAGGAAAAATATTAGGAAACATACACACTATCGGAACATCGGCGATAGAACTCGGCCTCTCGGCGACAACCCGCGTATCCATCACATACGCCAAAAAGTCCACACAACCCTGCTGTAGACTCTGCCTCGCCCTGGCGGCAGAGCAGAAAGCTGACCCTGATCTGGTACCCTCGCCATACACTGTAAGCACACCCCCACTAGGGTCTCGTATAGTCACCAACTGACGCTCGCAGTCGATCACAACTCCAAAACGGGTCAACCAATCCATGCCCACAATGACACATACATCACCCATCGCAATCGGTACCAGGTCAATCGGAAACTCGACACCAAAAATCTCCAGCACACATTCTCGGAATACATCAGTAGCAAAAACCACATGCTCATCAGCTATAGAAACCCTCAAAGGTCGACTCAACGCTTCACGTCGAACACTGATGTGACGACTAAAAGCTAAAGACACAAAGGGTCGACTCGCACCCGAGTCAAATAACACTAAGGCAGGTACAGAACTCACAAGAAATGTACCTAAATATGGCACAACATAAGCACAATAAATCTCAAAATGAATAAATAAAGAATTACGTACCAGCCACAACATCCGGTGTTGCGCGGACCTCCTCCGCTGTCAGCTGAAAAGCTCTCCCACGAGCCTTCGGGGCCTCGACCTTCACCGGCCGACTATCAATCGCACGCAAAGCTGTAGGAGTGGAACCCTGAGCTGATCCCTGAACAAGCTGAGGGCACTCGGCCTTCTGATAGCCGATTTGATTGCAGTGAAAACATACTGCAAATCCCTTGGGGCAATCTTTCGCCATATGCTCCTCTTTGCCACATTTGTAGCAAATCCCTGCCCGACATGTCCCCTCATGACTCTTGCCGCACTTCCCACAAGTGCGGCCCTTTTGGCCTCCTGACCTAGAATCAACGGGCTTAGCCCGCTTGGCTGCCGGCTGCGACTGCGCTGACCGCCAGTCTCTCCCCTAAGACTCCGCATCCTCCCTGGCCTGAGTCTCCAGCTCGATCTCCCTCTTCCTGGCATTTGCCTGAAGCTCAGCAAATGTCTGATATTTAAGGGAGATTACTACAACAATTTGTAGTAGATATCTACATGAAGATTGAGACTTCACGTTTGGAGTTTTATAGAAAAAACCATGTAACATCCGGATACCCATGTATCTTATTTTAAGTATTTTGTTGAATTTTAGAAAGGGACTCGGCGAGTAGGCGCTCAGACTCGCCGAGTGGAACCGCGCTTCTGCCAGCCTGGATTTAATGAAGGGACTCGGCGAGTCCATGCGTGGACTCGGCGAGTCCGCGCTGTCAAATGAAGCCCTAATTTTCGGGGCTTGTGCCCTATTTAAAGGTCCTTATGGCTGTCATTTGAGGCCACTTTGTTCCAGAGAAACCCTAGAGAGAGTGAGGAAGGCTTGAGTGCAAGAAAGGGCTTATAATCTTCATTTTGGGGTGATTTTTGCTAGAGAAAGAAGAGAGGATCCATCTAGAACGTGAAGGGAGCTTGGATTGGAGCTAATCATCTTGAGATATTGTCTCTGGAGGTATAATCCCTTCTATTTCGTATTGATATGATAGATTTCATGATTTTAGGGTTTTTACCTCCCTTTTTTAAGATCTAGTGAGTATGAGGTCCCCTTTTGTGTTGATGATATCAGATCTGGATCTTGAGAGGTCCATAGAGTCACTACCTTCTAGCTTTTTGCAAGCAAATAAGCAATTGGAGACTAGGTTGCCATTTCTAGTGATATTTCTCCATTTGAGGCTTGATATGGGTTGCATGCACGTAAATGTTGCACCTTTACGTGACTTTTGAATGTTAGAAGGATGGATCTACTGTTTGGTGAAGCAGATCTGACCTCAAGAGATCTTTTGAGAGTTTTCATGGGAGGAACTCGCCGAGTCCATAAGGGACTCGACGAGTCGAGTCGGGTTGCCCCGTGACTCGCGATCTGTAACGACCCGGGGAGTATAGGGTTGACTCAGTGAGTCAAGTGAGGACCAGGGACGAGGAGGCAGGCATGTACTCGCCGAGTCACTCTAGTGCACTCGGCGAGTCTGGTCAATGTTGACTGTTGACTTTTGTTGACTTTTAGGGATTAGTCAGTGTTTGGACTTATGAGCCATTAGAGGGGCAGAATGGTCTTTTACCCTTATTAGAGAAATTATAGAGAGGAGTTGGCCTAGCCTTTAGAAGTTGTATTAATTAGAGAATTTATTTATGTGATTAGGTGAAGGCTAGTGCAGTATTTCAGAGTTCGAGGTTTACCGAGTTACTCGAGGTGAGTCTTCTCACTATACTTTACCTTGAGTGGTAAGTAGAGTTATGTGACAGAGTATCTTGTATGCTATGTATGTGATGTGTTGCACTGCATTATTTCTATGTGATCTATGCTGTGTGTATTCCAGAGTTTACAGAGTTAGGACCGGAAGGTCCACAGAGTTAGGACCAGAGGGTCCACAGAGTTAGAGCCAGTGAGCCCACAGAGTTATAGCCTAGAGTGGCTAATATGTGTTATATGTGGTATTTTGGGGAACTCACTAAACATTTATGCTTACAGTGTTTTGTGTTATGTGTTTCAGGTACCAGTAAGGATCGCGGGAAGGCGCCGGCATGATCAGTACACACTATTGGAGTTTTATACATTATGATCTTGGGATGTGTTTTCATGGATTTGATATGTGATACATTGGGATTCGAGAATATTTATGAATGAAATTATATTTTAAAAAGTGAAAAATTGTTTGAAATTTACGGTGTTACAAACCAGTCCAAAATAAGATTTTTCAACGAGACTACTTATATATCTCGCATGAAGTTGACCCCATCCGATAAAAAAATTCCATTCCGTTTTCAACGTAGGCAATTCCCAATAGCAGTTTGTTTCGCTATGACCATTAACAAAAGTCAAGGACAGTCATTATTAAATGTTGGATTATGCTTGCGTAGACCTGTCTTCACCCATTGTCAGTTATATGTAGTTGTTTCTCGTGTAACAAACAAAAAAGGTTTGAAGGTACTCATATGTGACGAGGAAGATCGTTCAACTAATAAAACAAAAAACGTTGTCTACAAAGAAGACCTGCAACGTTTATAGATATTTATCGATTTAAGTGTTTCTTCTTCACATTTCAATAATAACAATAGCCATAAACTTTCTTTTATAATTATTATGCAATATATATAAATGTTTTTATATTTTTTTAATACGTCCCGCATTTAACCCGGTTATAATCTAATTTATGATTATAAAAAAATAAAAAAATCTGAAGTACAATAATATAAAAAAGAAAAATAAAAAATACATCACTATTAGGAATATAAATGGGGCGAAGCCATATTTCCAAAAAGTAGACTTGCTTTCAGCGTCGTTTCGTGTAGATTCTCTCACCATCTGTTTCGATAAGAACCCTCTCCCCGAAATCCCAAATATCTTTCTTTCCTCCTCTCGTCTCTCCTTTTACTCGGCTTTTGATCCAACAGGTTAGCTTCCTTTATGCTTGTAAATCACATGTACATGCATATAATTATTGAATAAAGACGCCTGATTTCCGTGTTATTCGATCAGATCGCAATAGTGGTAGCTTTTAAGAAACAATTCTGTAGCTCAGGTTTTGATTTTGACTAATCGTGAGTTCATTTCTCTCTTTTCTGGTTTGATCTAAGTATTTGTTTCGACTTTCTTCGTTTTGGATTTGCTTGTTCAGGGTTTAGCTAGTAGTTGTTTTTTGACTGGATTAGTTTCCGCTTTTAAATATTCCGGCCACTGATTTTGTGCCCTAATTTGGGCAACCGATGCTATTATTGGGCTTTTATTGTTTCTTCAACTGCTAAGCTTCCTTTAATTGTTTTCTTATAGTTCGCTTTACCCTTACACTGACTTTTATGATAGATTCTGTGAAAATCTCATCTTATTCATTGGTTATTTACCCTGTGTTTTGCTCAAATACGAAAGCTGTAGTATTTGGGGAACATATTTTCCCTTTCTGTGAATCAGATAGTGTTTAGAGTGCAAATTTTGAGATTGATAGTGAAATTCAGTTATCTTCTAGATTTATTTCATTTTGTTGCTAGTTCCATCAGCAGCTGTGATTTGATCATCAATATCACAGGATCTTGCTTGTGTGTACATCTGTTTTATAAAGGTCAATACATAAATACTAATTGTTTTCTACACTAATTTTACTTATTCTCTCTTGTTTTACTATAGGTATAATGATTAAATTGTTTAAAGTTAAGGAGAAACAAAGGGAACTTGCAGAAAATTCTAATGGCAAACCACCTGTTAAGAAGCAAAGTGCAGGTGAATTGCGTCTTCACAAAGGTAAGTTACATTACATTCTTATTTAGCAAAGCACTTTAGAGTAATGGACTAATGTTGATCAAAACTTCAAATCATGATTCTGCTTTTGCAAAATTCATTTTTTTTTTCTTTTTTCTTTTTGCAGATATAAGTGAATTAAACCTACCCAAGACATGTAGCATATCATTCCCAAATGGAAAAGATGATCTCATGAACTTTGAAGTAACCATTCGGCCTGATGATGGATACTACTTGTAAGTATATGCAACAAAATCATATATGTATCAATTTATATGCATCCATCTTTCTTTTATCTAACTGATTATCTTCTTTCAGAGGTGGCACATTTACATTCACCTTCCAGATTTCATCCATCTATCCCCATGAGGCACCAAAGGTCAAATGCAAAACTAAAGTGAGAAACACCCTTCACAATTTCATTTCTTTAATATTTTTTACAAATCTTCTCAATTCAACATATATTTATATGCCATTTGTATGTAGGTTTATCACCCCAACATTGACTTGGATGGAAATGTTTGCCTCAACATTCTTCGTGAAGACTGGAAACCCGTCCTTAACATAAACACCATCATCTACGGCTTGTATCATCTTTTCACGGTAAACTCCATCACCTGACAGAATAGGTTGTATTGTATTTGACATGCATTAGTCTGTCAGACTCAATCATGTCTGTCAGATAAAGTTTCACTTTTTATACCATCCAAAAAGGTGAAACTTGGTGGGAGGATTTTGCTTTTTCGCAAAAGACATAAATGCCCTCTTCATTTCTCTCACCTCTAAGGACAAGACTGGACAAAACAGAACAGGTTGTACTGCGTTTGTTAGACATGACTCAGATGTCAATAAAATAAAGCTTTACTTTTTGTCCTATCTAAAAAGGTGGGACAAGGACTTAGACATATGCAAAAAGACGTGAATGCCCTTTTGATTATTATTTTTGTGTAGGAGCCGAATCATGAGGATCCACTGAACAGAGAAGCAGCTGCAGTGTTGAGAGACAACCCGAAGATGTTTGAGTCGAATGTGAGAAGAGCAATGGCAGGTGGGTATGTGGGCCAGACCTTCTTCACCAGGTGCATATGAAGTATGAAGTCAATCAGCACTCACAGCCATGGTGGAAATAAGTCTGTGTTCCCAAGGGTCTTTTTTGCAAATTGGGAGAAACTTGGGGGGTTGAAGGTGTTGTTTATGCAAAATGAAAATGGTCTGTTTGTTTGTAACTCTGTTGAATGCCATTATTTCGGGTCTCACTTGTCAAATTGTCTTGTAAAACTATGATGTGTTTTGGGAAAGATAAAAGAATCTCATGTTGATGTTGATGTTGATATTGATGTTTGCTTCATTCTCTCTTTATCCTCTTTTATTTCTTATATGCACAAACCAATTTTATGTGTACATAATGACATTATATTGAAGATGATCATACCCACAAATCAACACCTTGAGTGTGTGTGTTCTTGTAACATTTGAGTTGTTATGGAGTTGCACATAAGAGATAAAAGGTCTTGGATAGAAGGTTATAATATAGAGTAATTAATATCCACCGATGAATGTTTCTTGAAAGGGTATGTGTGATTCACTTATATAATCGTTTTCTGTTTATGTCAATGTTTTCAATGATTAATAATTTATTTATGCAACAAAATTATGTGCGTATCAACTTATATTTTCAATATATATGTTTATGTTTCATTTGTTATTATGAATTTCTTATAAGCTTACATAACAAGATGAATCTCTACTACATTGTTTTTTTAAGAAATGAAACATTATTATGTAAATTGGCAAAAATCCAATCTGTTGGATATTTTGAAAAGAAAAAAGTGTGTTTTGATAAAAAAAAAAACTCATTAGTCGGTATGTAAAAGAATACCGGTTTTTAAAATGGAGACTCGTGCTTCTTCTCATAATTCCCATTCCCATTGATATGTATAACGATGAATCGGATGCCATTGAAAGTGGGCCAAAAGAATAGGGGCAAGATTAGAGATGCATATTGATGGTTAGTTTTTTTGAGGTCAGTCTCGGAGTTTTTTTGGGATCGGTTTCGTGGTTTTTATGTAAGTATTTTTCGGTATTTTGGTTTAGATTTCGAGTTTTTCCATTAACAAATGTCTCATTAACACAAAAATAATATATTAAGATTTATCAAAAAAGACAAAAATTTCATAAATGATCTCTGTGGCTTTCAAAAAGTAGCACTTCTATGATCTTTGAGAAACATTACATTGGTGGTCTTTTAGATTTCTAAAGGTCATGTGGCGTTAGTGTTACAACCCAAATCCAGGAAGCCCATTTTTGTCTAACTGGGTATAGTCCAGCCCATAGTTTAGATAGCTTCCAGAACTTGTCCCTTAATTTCCTTGTCTTTTAGTTAGCTTGGCTGTTGATTTCCTTGACTCTTTGTATCCAGGGGCGCCTATAAAAAGGGCTCATCCCCTCCCCTCCTTTCATTTGTATCCACGAAAATTCTCTGCTATCAATACAAAGTTCCCAGTTTCTGATTTGCAAGTGTTGCTTAGTAACCTCTCATCATATTTTCGACTTGGCATTCTTTGACAGCAGGATTGCCAAGGTCGCATGGGTCTGAAATCGACTCTGTGACAGGTTGGTGTTAGAGCAAAGGATTATCCGAGGTTCTTCCTCGAAGGTTTGCAACACGATGGCAGGCGAAGATTCTGTTGTTACTCCTGAGAATGTTGATGATTGTGGCAGAGAAGCTGAAAAACGAATACCAAAAGGTCCAAGTCTCGAAGCCAATCCAGACCCCCTCCCATTCCGCCCAACCGCTCCGGGGAAGCTGTTGAAACTCGAGTTCTGAACCTTGAATCGGTTATGGAAGGCGTGCAGACACAAATCAACGACTTGTACGAAGTGGTTGAGACCTTGACATAATAGAATGCTGCAATGTCACAAGCAGCTAAAACCTTGATCAACGACGCGACTATCGAAGTCAAGCAAGAAATTGGTACCATCTCTGAAGAACTGTTGGCCTATAAGAAGACTATTGGAGATGAGATCCAGACTATACACGAAGAGATGGAAGCTATAAAATGGGAGATCAAAAGACAACCCTTTATGTTGGGAAAATTAGGGAGCCACACTCCCAGCCCTAGCATCAAGGTCCCAAACCTAATGTTTACACAGGAACCCGAAATGCTGCCATGGTCGAAAATTTCCTATTCGGGCTGGAGCAATATTTTGAAGCAAGTGAGGTAGTAGATGATGCTGCTAAGATTGGGAATGCCCCGACGTTTCTACGAGAATCTGCCCAACTTTGGTTGAGGAGAAAGTATAATGAACGAGAGAATGGACCTGCACCATTGTCACTTGGGATCAGTTCAAAATCGAGTTGAGGAAAAACTTTGTCCCGCACAATGCCACTGAAGAAGCCATGGGTAAACTAAGACGGTTGCGCCAAGGAGGTACTATTGCCGACTACATAAAAGAGTTTCACAACTATCATGCTAGAAATTGAAGACTTGTCGGATAGGGACGCCTTGTTCTACTTCAAGGATGGGTTGCGCGATTGGGCTAAGGCCGAACTAAACATGAGGAATGTACAAACATTGGACGAAGCAATATCAATGGCAAAATCGCTTTTGGACTACAAAACCGCACAAAGAAATGCCCCTGCTGCAAAAACAGGTGGTGACAAGAACCCCCCTAGGAAATTCGAAGATCGGAGGGCAGATAGGCTAAAGTTCGATAATCAATTCAGACGCGACCCCCCGAAAGCTCCCAACAAGCCTTGCTTTATTTGTGATGGCCCTCATTGGACCCGGGAATGCCCTAATCGGAAGGCCATGAATGCGTTAGTAGCCGACATGGTAAACAAAAACGATGGTGATGCAACAACACAAGAAGAATAATTTCATAGTTTTAGATTTTGACCAAAAAAGTTCTTTATATTAGACTTTAGCCACAAAGTATACTTTTATGGTTTTACATTTTGGTCAAGTTTGTTAATTTTACACTTTGCATATATATATATATATATATATATATATATATATATATATATATATATATATAGATTTGGTCCCTATAGTTTTATACGTTCACACTTCCCACGCGTTACATTGTTGAATGCCACTTTTCCATCCTCGTACTTTGTAAAATGTTAGTTTTACCCTCTCAATTTAATTTGTTATTTTAGACTTTGCCCATAAAACTTTCTTATTTTAGATTTTGGCCATAAAACTTTCTTATGTTGGCACCTTTGGTCCCTACATTTTTGTACGTTTACACTTCCTACGCCGTTACTTTGTTGAATGCCAATTTTCATCCCCGTACCTTGTAAAATGTTAGTTTTATCCCCTAAATTTGAACAACAACAAGTTCCACCCATTTACGTTTCGTATATTGGCATGTTTGCAGGTTTGATATGTTTGGTCATTACATAGAAAACAAATTACAAGAACTGTACCTGTACTTTACGAAATAGGTCTCTATGTAGAATTATATTTACATTAACGATGCATACGTTGATGTACTACACTGTCCTATTGTCCTCAGAACATTATACAAACACAAAATAAAAACATCAAACGAGAAAAAACCAAAGAAACACTAAAATATGCAAACATGAAAAAAAATATTGCAACCGCCGCAAATCACCTTCTAGTTTGATTAAAATGAATAAAATCTATCTTTTATATAACTTTTCCTTAAAAAAAACAAACAACCTTATTTTTTTCTAATTCTTCACTTTTTTTTCTTCAAGCCACCAAACGAAAGTGTGTCTTATATAAATCAATATCAAATTAAACTATTTAACTATTATGTGTAATAAATTATAGAAGTTATATTTTATAAATGTAGATGACAATGTTAATTTATAATATCTAAATTTTTGATTGTTGTGTATAAATAATTATGTAAGGGATTACAAAAATAGAAATCAAGGAAATATTTTAATATAAAGAAAGTATATAAAAAATAATAAAAGACAAAACTGTAAAAATATTTCTTTTGGTTGTGGTTTGTCAAAAAATGTTATTTTGGTTCAAAAAGTTTTGGACTAATACTACCGGTTCAAAATAATTTTTTTTGTTGCGGTTCTGATCTATTTTTTTTAATTCTTAAAATGAAAGCTTTACTCATTTTAATTTGTTTTTTATTTTCTTTTTTTATCACTTCACTATTTTCTAATTAAAAATAAAAGAAAAATCTTACGCACCCAACCCCCACCCTACCCAACCTATTTTTTTTCACACATTTCACCTTTTTAACTTGAAAAAAATCATATTTTCTTTCTTGAAAATGCTATCGGCTACTGGACCATTGTCAGACCACCGTCGGACTGCTGAGACTGAAAACACATCTTCCCTTCCCCCTCTCTTTCTCTTTTTATTTTTCTCTATAATACCCATCTCCCTCCCGATTTTCACAAAGTGAAAATAGCACCACCACCACTATCACAAACGCCAACACCAACGGTCGGACATGTGAGCGCCACCACCAGTATTGAACCTCCTTGAAACCATAGATTTTTTTATGGCGAAGAAGATGAACCAAAATCTATAGATCTTGTGGCTCTAAAAACAAAATTTGTAGCTCTGGGGAAGTTGGCGATGAAAACCCTTGGGAATTTTGATACCTCCAATGGGTGAAGTCGATGCTGAAGGGCTGGTTAATTAGGGTATTCCAGATTTGGGTATGAAACGATCTCTAGTGGTATATCACTGGCAATGACGTCGCTGTAAACTCTACCTCCAATGGGTGAAGTCGATGCCGAAGGGCTGGTTAATTAGGGTATTCCAGATCTGGGTATGAAACGATCTCTAGTGGTATATCACTGGCAATGACGTCGCTGTAAACTCATATTACCAGAGAACCCTACCAGAGAAGACAATCCGAGAAGGGGGAAGCATTGTAAAACAATCATCTAAATGCCTTTGTCCGCCTCCGTTAACATCAACTTACAGCAAATCTGAAATCCTAGCTCCATCCGATGATCATTTTGATGGCTTTGACTTTTGTAGAAGTAGAAGAAAGATAAAGAGATAGAGATGGTGATCATAATAGTAGAAAAAAGAGAAAGGGAGTGGCACTAGAGTGGTATGACAAGTCTCTGGTGGTGTTCTGATGAAAAGGGTGGTGCCGGTGGCCGGTTAATTTCCGGTGGACAGTAAAGAGGGAGAGAGTGAGAGAAAGAAATAGATAGATATGGAGTTTGTAATAGAGGGATGGGGTGGGGGTATGTTATTTGGGGGTATGTCTAAATTTTGTTTTTTGTTTTATTTTAATAAGATAAAATAAATAAATAAATAAAAATAAGAAGGACAAATCAGTCTTTTTAAGTACTTTTACTTTATGGAGGGACCAAAACTACAATAAAACTCATATTTTGAACTAGTGGTGCTGGTCTAAATTTTTTTGAACCAAAGTGACAATTTTCGACAAACGACAGTGGCTTTTTTGCAATTTTGCAATTTTGTCGATAAGAAAACAAAAAGGATTATAAAAGCTAAATACAACAACAATTAATGGAGCTTAACCACATATATGTCCTACGAAAAATCTTTCCATCAATGGCGTAGCCATATGGAGGCAAAGGTGGGCCTTGGCCCACCCCACACAAGTTTGAGTCTTATATATTTTTGTTAAGTAAAAACGTTTGCGCTTCATATGGCCTAGATTTTGCCGATTATAGATTTGATAACTGCGATTTTTGGAATTGTTGCTAACTATTTCATATTTCGTTCATTATTCGTCAGGTTGGTATATTAATTTTTTTGCTGTCATCTAAATACTCAATTACTTGTTTTTATTTTTATCATAGACAATTTTCAGTTAACATATTGTTTACCAATTTAGGTTTGCATTGATTTTATATTTTTATCGTAAGTTTCTAATAAATTAGGTTATTACTTGTTGCTATGAATTAATTATTTGTATTATTGTATTACATATAAGTTTGTTTTGTATAAAAAATATAAGACTGTGTTTGTATTTGATATTGCTAAGCTTTTCTGTTTAGACTCTATTCTAGATGATTTTAATGATGTAAGAGAGCATTGTGTGCTACTTAAATGAACAATTTACTTTATAATGCATACATTGTTATATTTTGTTATCATTTGAAGTATTTTGCTACTCGTTTATATTTTGTAAATTATTTTCCCTACCTTAAAACAAAATCATGGCTACGCCACGACTTTCCATTATCTACAAAGTTAATCATAAAACTTATTAATTGTACCCTCTATGTTTACTATAAGAAATTAATCTCTATAACAATGATACCAATAAATCCAAAAAAAATCAATTTTCAATAATCTAAAAACTATATTTCTAGTCTTTCGTGAAAGTAAGTTTACCCTGGAACACTAAACCATGTTTCTTCAAAATTACCGTAGTTTCTGAATATTGTTGTCTCGTGGATATGAATTAACATATTTATCTCTTCCAAGCCCAGACCAGGTTAACCATCGGAGTTCTTGCCCCTTAAAAAATTTGAAGATTTCCATTAATTAGAGTTCATTCAATTGATTACTGTCTCACCTACATTAAGTAAAAAAATCATGAAACCTTTAACCATGTTGACTATATGTGACAGGCTTAAAGTATCACATATGATTATGCAAGTGAAATCAACTGGAAATTTCACACAATCAGGAACTTTTAACTAGTTCCACTCCTAGGGCCGGCCCTATGGGAGTTCAACCAGTGCTTAAGAACAGGGCCCACCAAAACATAAGGGCCCAATTTTTTTCCTTGTTAGTATTAGGTTAACTTTACTACTTACATATTGCTGGAAATAGAAGAGGCCGACACACACAAGCGGGAAATCAAAAAATCGAGGGAGAAAAACGC